CCCTCTTATAGCGTTGCTAGTTGCAGGTGAAGATTGGAGGTCGTTCCTTGTTGGAACATTTATTTACTTGTTGGGATATCATTATATTGCCATGTTATCTTAATGTATCTATATACTTGATAAAGGGTGGAAGGCTCGGCGTCTTGCCTAGTGTTTTGTTCCATTCTTGCCGCCCTAGTTTCCATCATATCGGTGTTATGTTCCCGGATTTTGCGTTCCTTACGCGGTTGGGTTATAATGGGAACCCCTTGATAGTTCGCCTTGATTAAAGCTTTTCCAGCAATGCCCAACCTTGGTTTTACCATTTGCCACCTAGCCTCTTTTTCCCTTGGGTTTTCAGAGCCCGAGGGTCATCTTATTTAAACCCCCCCCCCCCCGGGAGGCCAGTGCTCCTCTGAGTGTTGGTCCACCTCGTCAGCCGCCGGTGGCCACCAGGGGCAACTCTGGGCCGGCCTACCGGAAGTTTGGACAATCTGAGTGTGCCCTGAGAACAAGATATGTGCAGCTCCTATCGGGATTTGTCGGCACATTCGGGCGGTGTTGCTGGTCTTGTTTTAACCTGTCGAAGTGTCTTGAAGAACCGAGATACCGAGTCTGATCGGAACGTCTTGGGAGGAGGTCTATTCCTTCGTTGACCGTGAGAGCTTGTCATGGGCTAAGTTGGGACTCCCCTGCAGGGATTTGAACTTTCGAAAGCCGTGCCTGCAGTTATGGGCAGATGGGAATTTGTTAATGTCCGGTTGTAGATAACTTGAACCTTAACTTAATTTAAAATGAATCAACTGAGTGTGTTGCCGTGATGGCATCTTCTCGGCGGAGTCCGGGGAGTGGACACGGTGTTGGAGTAATGCTTGCGCAGGTTGTTCTCTAACTTCTCGCTCGCGCTTTGCCTCCTCTTCTCGCTCTCTTTTGCGAACAGGATAGTCACCATATATGCTAGTCGCTTGCTGCAGCTCCACTTATATTTACCTTGCCTTACCTATAAGCTTAAATAGTCTTGATCGCGAGGGTGCGAGATTGCTGAGTCCCTGTGGCTCACAGATTACTATTACACCAGATGCAGGGCCTGATGATTCCGCTCCAGGTGACGCGCTCGAGCTCAAGTGGGAGTTCAACGAGGACTCTCAACGATACTATGTTTCCTTTCCTGATGATCAGTAGTGGTGCCCAGTTGGGGTTGATCGGGACCGTGTCGCATGTTGGGTTATCTTTTATTTTGGCGCCGTAGTCGGGCCATGAGTGTTTGGATGATGTAATGTTATTTATGTACCTTGATTGACGTGGCAAGTATAAGCCAACTATGTTATCTTCCCTTTATTATTTATATTACATGGGATGTTGTGAAGATTACCTTACTTGCGACATATGTCTTCAATGCGATTATGCCTTTAAGTCGTGCCTCGACACGTGGGAGATATAGTCGCATTAAGGATGTTACACTCTACTCTCTACATACCCACCCAAAACTTCCTCCATTTCTTTAAGCCTAGCGTACTCGGGTTGCCCCTGCAAACGTCTGACACATCGTACTGCATCATGAGAGGATTTGCTTTAACTAATTGTTTTCGCAGCCGGAGCCAGTTGTATGTGCTCAGTACCTTCCTGTTATCACTTTGTCAGCATCAATCCAATCCAATCTAACCCAAACCAATGAATCTAAGCTGCCCGTTTAATTTTCGCGATCGGTGGTAGCCAACGACCAACCGATCTAGCTGCCCGATGAACTTGTTCGTCTACCCAATTAACGCGCTACGAACAGATTCCCTGTCTGTCAGTCTGTCTGTCACATTGGTCTAGTAGTACTAGCACACTACATGCATGCATGATTGGCTGCATCAATGCAGGAGCAATTTGACTATTCCAGAACGAGATACCATCTGTTCCTGCAACCTCCTGCACACACAGGCTGACATATGCTTCCTGTTTAGATTCTTCGGTTTGTGGGTGGTAAACTAATGACATATGCTTGCTGTTTAGATTCTCCAGTTTGCGAGTAAACTAGGCTGTTTGTGCGTGTTTCAACGGTCCTTGATTGGAATATTGTTGTTGAGCGTTACTGTTGATGTCGCCCACAGAGAGCGTACCCCTTGGATTCTGGTATGGGCCGGGGTGCACGCACATATCACATGTGAGACGATCCTCCTGACAAGTGCACCGACTAGCTGCTGGTACGTACGTGTTGATGCGAGACGGTGCGATGGTGATAAATTATGTCACCTCGGCTGGGTTTCCCACGATCGGTGCACATATTCCTGTTCGGCTTGTCTGAAAAGATGCCATGTGTTGCAATGCCCTCGTACATGATGGACATTAATAACTGTAGTTGCTTTTGGAAGTACTGTGTAGTTTTCTCCCTAATCATCACTTGGTTTAGCTTATCAGGCCTGATATGTAGTCACAGCTACACCATGACTAGCGTGGGTCTGTAGGGTCAGCAAATGTACACGCACTGTGCGTTTGATTGTTTTGCGAATCATATACGCTGTATGTTGACGTCCACTAGTATACAAACCCAACCGGAGACTGTCCGGAAACCTTTCGGACGGTTTTCCTTGCCATTTTTTATGTGAAAATAAGAGTACGCACAAGAGTTTAGACAGGTTTAGGCCCTCACTGAAGAAGGCACGATGGACTCAGTTGCCTCCAGTTGCTCACATGACAAAGGCGGCCTCCATATGCTCCATGGAGAGAGGAGAAACAGGTCCCACACATTGTTGTTGAGGCTCGAGTATGATCTGCAGCACGGGAGCAACGACCACGGCGATGGCCTCGCCTACGGCGGTAGACGACATAGGAGGCAAGGCAGACATTGACGATGATCTGACCTTGGCATGAGCGGAGAAACAGCCGTAGAGCTATGTCCCCTTGTTTTCTAAGAAACCAACACCAGACACATGAGAAGGACACGACGTCGGAGCAATCGGCAACATAGTCGGCACGAGAAAGAACATGCTCAAGGTAACCTCCGCCTGCTCCAGAAAGGTCCCAACCTGCACCAGCAAGCCTCGCGGCTTCTCGGACAGATCTACCAGAGCGAACTGGAACTCTACTTCAGACGGGGTTGCGAGCAAGCGATACCAAAGACGACATATGCCCAAGATCCACGACAAAGCGCCACGGAGGGAAGTGCGGACTTCATCGGACTTTCACAAGAAGTTGAAGCTTGACGATGCTCAATGCCAAGGCAGGGCACGGACAGCATAACAAGGCGTGCCAACGAACTGAGTGGACACCAAGAGTTGCGGCACTCGGGTGCACGGTGACTGTTCCCCAAACAGCGGAAAGTCTGGTCCTATTTTGGGCATGTATAATGGTTCTATCTTAAGAGTGTCACGTAGGATAAATGATGAGGTAGTGAAGAGAGAAATCATAAGAGAAGGCTTGTCTTATCTTATTTAAGAAAAGACAAGAGATGATCTATTAGCACAATTTGTCTCACCATGTTTTTAGGAACAACTAATTATTGAAGATAAGACAAAGAGATGACTCGTTATAGACATGTTTTTTTGTCATCTCTAATTTAAATGTAAAACTTGAAATAAGACTATCTTATCAACCATTGTACATACCCTATGTAGAATCAATTTCCATCTTGTATGTACAGCCACCGCATAGCCAGCCGAATAACGGTTCTATACAAGAACGAATGACCGATCATAGTTGTCTCGTAAGTACAGTAGATTCGAAAAAGATTACACACCTACAGACAGGAGAGATGAGAATGCCAAGCAGGCTGCGGATGGCCCCCACGTGATCGGATATCCATGCACGTGAAAATGCTCTGCAAAGGGAAACAAACTGTGTGCGTGCGTGCGTGCCAGTCCCACAGGAATACGCAAGGCGCGCACACGTGAAGCAACAACGGCACACTGGAATGGAACGGACGGCACAGTCGCGCACGCGTGCGTCGTCGGCCGGGGCCGTACACGATGTGCAGCAAAAAGTCACGAGCTCGTAGCCCCATTCATCCGCTACTGCTCGCTACCTGTACGTCGGGGTCGGGCTAGGGACCAAAAACAGCGGCACGTGCATGCAGGGAGCCGCAAGTGTACGTGAAACGTACGCGTGCCGTGTGGGCACTCCGATCCGTACGGTACGATCGGGTCAGGGACCCAAAGAACAGTCGGCTGAGAGCTCCCGTGCACGCACCGGGTCGAGTGAACCAGCTCTATCGGGGAATTTTAAATATGTACTCCCATATCCATTTACTCCCTCTGTTTCTAAATATAAGTCTTTATAGAGATTCCACTATAAATAACATACCATTGTAGTATATAGATGTATTTTACAGTATAGATTCACTAATTTTGTTTCATATGTAGTCTATGGTCCCCGCAGTCTATGGTCCCCGCAAATTTTTTTAGAAAAATATGTAGTGTGCGATGGAATCTTTACAAAGATTTATATTTAGGAACGGGGAGAGTATTTATGATAAGTCTAATGAAGCTAGTTTGATGTATAGTAGATGTTGACATGTTTTTTGACCAGGAACAAATGAAAGCTTCCATTAATAAGAACGGAAGGGGGTAGTATAGATATTGGCTACTACTAACAAGTATACTATGGAATCTATATATGGCAAGTCCAAAAAAGAATGTTGAGATGGTTCGCTGCCAGCATGTACCACATAATACTACTGCCATACTTGTGTTTGCGTGTACGGGTTGACGGTACGATACGTTGGACGTTGCACTGACACAACCATCGGTAGCACTCCATTGGAAGGAATGGAGCGTGTACGTACCATTTAACCTGCTTTGGCATGGACATGGCCAAATTGCATACGTATCCTGTTCATTCCGATATCATATAGGGATCTCAATTATATACCACGCCACTTCCGGCAAGAGGGAGCCATACTCTTTTGTAGCCATCCTCCCGTCTATTTGTGCTCTGCTCACAAGCCAAGGCCAAGCAGCAGCAGACACGCGAAAGCAAACTCACAAGGAGCGAAGAAGAAACCCAGCTAGGAGCGTCTGGTGCATTGGAGCAGGAGACCAATGGCGGGCCTCGGGTTCGAGGAGACGGAGCTCCGGCTCGGCCTGCCAGGCGGCGGCAACGAGGCCGAGGAGGCGGCCGCCGCGGTGAGGAGCTCCGGCAAGAGGGGCTACGCCGAGACCATCGACCTCGTGCTGAAGCTGGAGCCTGCGTCGGCGGCCGCGCCGCCGTCTGGGGACGACGAGGAAGTGGCCGACGGTGTCGCGGAGGCGCAGCCGCCGTCTCCGGCTGCTGTCGACGGGCAGTTGAAGCGGTCGCCGAGCCAGAGCAGCGTGGTCACCACCGCGCAGCCGGACGCGGACCCCGAGAAGCCGCGCGCGCCCAAGTACGTCCTCCTCCTCCTCGTCCCTCGTTACTTTTTTTGCATGCAAATGTGATTCCCTGTTACGTACTAGCTCGCTCCAGAAAAATCTCAAGGCCCTCCCGTGCCCTCAAAGAAGAGGATCATTCATAGTTCTTAGGATGAATGTGCTTTAATTTTCGGAAGAAAAATGTATTCCCTCCGTCCCATAATATAACGTTTTTGATATGACTAGTGTCAAACACGTTTTTATATTATGAAACGGAAGGAGTAGTACAGTATGTTTTAGAACTAGCCTAGGAAAAGGAAACTAAGCTTTTATAATTACAACATCATGCGTGCATGCTTCACTCTAGCACACAAATTTTAGTGGCATGCACGCTTGCGTGAGGGGGGAAAAGAGGAAAAGGCACTTTTGCACCGGCGTTTCCGGGGGAACGAGGGTACGTACAGTGATGAATGCAGCGACGCATGTGGTGGGGTGGGCGCAACAATGGCACGGGGAGAAGCGCAGCCAGTGCCGGCCCTGCCGACACGATAAAAAGGAAAAGGAACCTACTATTTCCCCCTGCAAACTGTGTCTGCACTAGCACTGCATGTCCTCGCTCGTCGCCATCATCATCATCACCGCCACCCACAACTTCTCTAAGTAAACAGTTAGTATTGATTAATTGATTGATTCATGTTTGGCACGTGGAGCAGGGCGCAGGCGGTGGGGTGGCCGCCGGTGCGGTCGTTCCGGAGGAACATGCTGGCGGCGGCGCTGGTGAAGGTGAGCATGGACGGCGCGCCCTACCTGCGCAAGGTGGACATGGGCACCTACAAGAGCTACCAGGAGCTGGAGAAGATGTTCAGCTCCTTCACCATCGGCAACACTCCGACTCAGGGGATGACGGGCATGAACGAGAGCAAGCTGGTGGACCTGCTCAGCGGCTCCGACTACGTGCCCACCTACCAGGACAAGGACGGCGACTGGATGCTCGTCGGCGACGTCCCCTGGGAGTAAGTAATTAGTTAAAGCCCATGCATGCATGTTTTCTCTTCTCATGTTGGTGCTACTCACTTACTAATAATCTCTTCTTCTTCTCGCTCTGGCAGGATGTTCGTCGCGTCGTGCAAGCGCCTCCGGATAATGAAAGGATCAGAAGCCATCGGCCTCGGTCGGTGCCCTCTTAATTTTCAGATTTACGTTTGCATGCTCGATGGCCGTTTGCTAACTCCCTTTGTCTTACGGTTTTTCAGCGCCAAGGGCAATGGAGAAATGCAAGAGCAGGAGCTGATCGACGTAGTGTCCATTCCAAGACTACGACTCTGCTTGCCCCCACTCTGTACCATAATATACTACTGCTACTTCGCTACGATCCGGTCAAAGTTCCGTTATCGCCTCGATTAGTTCACTACTATCTGTATAAGTACGTATGTTCCAACTTGTTGTCATTTATACAATGTAGTATAGTATGTATACGTGAGAAAGATGTCATCGGCATGTCACTGTTTACGCACTACAGTAGTCAATATATGCCTTGTCATTTCCGTTTAGCGCACAGAAAAGGCAGAAGATGCCCTTCCATTATTTTTTATCCAGAAGAAAAGAAGTCAGATGGTGGGTACCCTACCACCACCAGTTTCCACTGCAGGGATCTTGCAGTTTGTCCAACAGCAGCGCTCAATTATCACGCTGCCGTTGGACAAATAATCGCCCGGCAGCCTTGTTTAATTATGATTATGAAGCTGCTCCGTGGCGTCCAGGTTCATTCCTCTGTGTTAATTAGACGTGTGTGTACACAAGAAACATTGCCAATGTTTCATGCGCTGGCGGTGTGATGCACACTCAAAACGCCCATCTCCATATACTCCCTCCTTTCCGGTTTATAAGGCTCAATTCAAAAATCTCATCAACCAAGGTAGATGATGTGTGGTGAAATATTTTTTGTAGTTTGCAAAAGCATCCAATTAATGTTCTTGTTTTTCTCAAAAAATTGTGTTTACGGATGCATTAATTGCAATGCATGCATACATAAAATGCATGCATACATAAAATGCATGCATTGGTCAGTTTTCTCTTAATACTTGCATGCAATGATTTAATGCACCTTGAAGTCTGAACATGTGATGGGGAACAACAAAATTGAGTCTTATAAAATGAAAAAACTAAAATTTTGAGATAAGCCCTATAAACTGGAAAGGAGGGAGTACTACATCTCTGAGCCACCTAAAGCAGAGGACAAGGCCATGTGCGTAGGGCCGGATAGGGGGATCATGTTCTTATACAAATTAATTTTCTTCTTTTTTTGAGCCGAGTTCTCATACAAATTTCAGTGGCGTCATACACTGCCGCATAGCTGTATTCCATGGCAAGGGTGCGATTTATTGCTCCCTGGTTAAGCAATTAAAAGGGTGCAGCAACTTTGGTTGGCTCCTTTCATGCTACAAGTCCATCCGTCCCATAATATAAGATGTTATCACATCAAAAAGTAGTATCCAATAGGCGTTTGGAGTTGAAGGTACTACGTTATATTACGCATGACATGTTTCCATGGAGGATCTTGTGTCCCCTAGCGATGATGACAAGCTTCAAGAAGTGTGGTCATTTTCTATTGCTCCAACTAGAGCAAGCAAAAGAATCTTACATTATTTTCCTCCGTCTCGCAAGTCCAATCAAGTGGCATGACAGCAAAGATTGCCGGCATAAAGACTTTCTCCCTCACAACTGAAGGAATGGCATTTCAACAAGCATCTGGTCTAACAGGAAAGATTGACTTTATATGTGTCTGTACTAAGCAATGCAGCTGAACATGCCTGGCGGAATAGTTTAAATGATTCACAACTTTATTGCACCAAAAAATAATATGGTTACATATTAATTAGGCCAAGCGGAGCACACCAGTGGGAACCCAAAAACCAGTTGATGCAAGTTTCACTTCCATGTAGCAGCTTATACAACAGGCACATTACATATATTATGGGTTTGGAGGTGCACAAAACAAATAAATAAATACTCACCAATTGTCTAATTTCACAAATCAGAGTGCGCACAATGAGCGGTTCTCTAGCTTGTTATTATTAATCAAGAATCAAGATGAACAATGCACTCCGACCGCTTGAATCCAATCCATATTTTGTCCTCGGGTAGCTGAAACAAACAAGAGAGTCAGCGCATGCATCGGTAGGATGCTTAGGAGATATCACGCGATGCGTGAAATGATGCTTGCCTGCTCTTGTGGGAACTGTGACAGCTGAACCCGTTTTGAACCGTCTGCTAGCCGCTTGCATGGAAGATGTGGTTCAGCTGCAGCGAACTCATTCAGAACCTGGCAAAATTTGTGGCAATACATTGGAAAACGAAGACAGGGGCAATGCTCTTTCACCTTTGTTGACTCAAAACTGTAAAGGTAAGTTGGCGGGTTTTCTTTCTTGTACCGGTTAATTTGTTGGGTGCCACTATATTTTTGTAAGTGTGCTGCTGTGCTTGAATTAATAAATTATTACAACTCAATTTAGCTCTTTCAGTTTGTTTCCGTTTCAAAAGTCCAAACTAAATTTTATTCTGGTTCATGTTTGTGTTAACTATGCAGTAACCATGTGTGAGGCTTGAACCAATTGCCAACTACCGGTAAATTATGATATATGGCGAAAAACGTTGGCTAACAGCATTATATTATGGCTTCATTTCATAGTTTACCACCAGAATGTTTCTCCACTACACTCTGAAATGCCAAGAGTATCAAAAGCAACTAACTTCGTCATTTTTAACTTAAACAAATTATATGGTAACCTGATACACCATCAAATGTTGCCTGACACATGGATAGAATGCGGAGTCACGGCCATCACTACTACCGTGATATATCTAACATCCACATATAGCCAGATTGGTGCCAGTAATGCCTAGTATTATGACAAAAATGATACAAGGTGACGATACTATGGATGGTAGATCAAGTGCCAACCTGATAGGAGCAAGAAATCAAAACCATCAGGAGATTGACGGGAGTACCTAGGTTTTCGTATACAGGTGGGCTTTAGTAGTATCCTTCATGTGTGCTGTTTGGGCCTGTAGACCTACAAAGTTGGAGGGCCCAGGATGTCACCTAAGCCTGCTATATCCTTTTTAAAGGAAAACAGAACATCTCAAATGATTCAGGTCCATATGAGCCCAGGCCAAAAACTCACTTCTAAGTGTTGGAAACAATCAGACAAAAATCATGTTCATAATTTTGGAGACACTTTGGGAGAAAAATCATGGTCCATATAAGCCCAGGCCAAAAATTCAGTTCTATTTTGCTTGATATCTGAAACTGCCAATTTTAGGCAAAAATTTATGATCATGTATGTGCTCTGTAACAAATACTCTGTAGATTTACAATTAGTATACACTCCTAACTTGTTTTATTTGCATACCATACAAATGGTCAGATTTTTTATCCGAAATTTTCAGGCTCATAATTCATCGTACAATGTGTATATACAATTGTTTTTATGACTGATACAACTTTGAAGTGATGTTTTTGAATTGTTAACTGGCAGCAGAAAATCCGCAGTTGGTTAGTATGCTACTATATACTTTTTTAGGTAGGCTGCAACAACTGCTTTGCGGTGCATAAGAGATAAGGGGTTTGTTACAACACCTTAGGCTACAACATAGTTACACGCTACATAGGGCAGACTGTAATAAAGTAGGTGCACTGCTTCCAATAGTATGATTCCTAAGCTAAAGAAGCTTACAGCCTGATACACCTTCAGCTTCACAGCTTACTCCTTGCTAGACTCCAGTTGATACACATTGCTTCATTAGATTCTTTCTGTTTATCAGTTTCTGAAGGGAAAAAGGCAAGCCAAAAACCAAGAGCCAAATTAAATTATTTTTTCCACCAAATAGGAAAACGTCGCTATTTTCTCTAACTGAAATGCAGTTCAGACAGGAGTAAACTTTTTAGTTCAGTTCTGGTTTGTTTGGTTCAGTCTAATTATGCACACGCTTGCACATATTGGGTGGACCAAAAACACTGGTGAGCAAAATTCTTAAACAATATAAAGCTAATACTGAGATAGCATATTTCTCACTTCTTTTTTGAGATTATAGTTCCCACTTTCTGATTGCAAACGGTTACTGCTTAGCACTTCAAACATGTTCATCCAATAACCTTGAAACTACTGGCCAGCGCACATAAAGAAAGGGGTTTTGGAAGAAAGCTCAAGCTGAAATGAAAGTTCACTTCGGGGGTGAGGAAATGTTTTAACAAAGTAATACCTGGTTTTTTATTGCACCAATCAACATATCTTGGCATCCAAATGCATGTACATTCTTCAGATTTGGGCACTGAAGTAGCAGCCGCTCTGCAAAATATTTAAATTGTTTATAATAATAAAAGCGGCTACCAACTTTACAGCCTCATGAAAAAGTGACACAATACCTGGGTGTAGATTTGTACAAGTGTTGAGGTTCAGATCAATCAACTCTGGGCATTTCACATACAAAGCCTGCCATATGTGAAATTAGTAACAAGACTATATCCATAAAGGACGTGAGTGAATCTCTGCTGGCAAAATTTGAAGGCTTACATCTATTGCTGAACAGCCCCATAGACTGAGCTTCTTCAAATTATCATGCTTTATGATTAGCTTTTGGCGCATAGGTTGCTTTTTTAAGGTGGGTAATTTTGGGCACAATCTAATCCTTCCATTGATCTCACCAAAATAAGCCCCCTGTTTTTCATTCTGCAAGTTAGAACGTAAGCTCATTCCACAGTCCATGAGCTGAAGTAGTGGCAATTGTGCTGTTGCGGCCTGGATCCCACCTAGAAAACACATAGAGAGATTCTTAACACTGGAACATGTAATGGTTGACTGGCGAATTCATTTTCGGTGGAGCAGAAATAAAAAACCATGAAATTCATATAAAGCTTACATGTAGTAATATTTGGGCAGAGAGCAAGGAGCAGCCTCGATAAAGTATGAGGGAACGCCTTGCAGATCATACCAACACCACTATCACTGATGCTAGATCTGAGGTATAATAAAAAAAACAAGTAACTGCATAAGCTAATTTGAAGTATCACGCCATATGAAAATAATCATCACCTTTATGTTAATTCCATTAACTTTAGTTTTATATCCAAAAGGATATATTGGAGCTTACCCACTTAAATCAAGCAATTCCAAGCTTGCACAAGATCTGACGATAGATGCAACAGCTGCATCTGTCATTTTTGAACCGAGAATCAAGGATAGCATGCACAAGCCCCTGATGAAGCAATAATGAGATTTGAGATTTAGAGGTTGAAATATTATGAAACTGGAATTATAGTGAGAAGAGAACTATAATGCTATAGCTCAGATACAACAAGATTCTGGCTCGGCTACTTTGGGTCAGCCTGAGGGCTGGGAACAGTTTGTTTTCTGTTTTGTCTCGTTTCTAATAAAAATGGGGCAGGGGGAACCCCTTCTCTTCAAATAAAATAAAAAGAACTATAACGCTAGAGTTCAAATACAACAAAATTGTGCTAAGAGCATGGTGGGGTAGAAATATACCTGAGGTTGGCACCCTCTAGAGCGGACACGGCTTCATTAGATAGTTGAATTGATGATATGTGCAAATTTCTTAAGTTAGGGCACGATCGGCCCAGGCCATCCATCAAACTAACCAGGTCAGTACATTCAGTACTTTGTTGTGTGAAACACAAGGAGAGCTCGCTCATATTAGGGCAGCTTATGACCTACAACAAATTTGTGTCCAATGAATTCATGCCCACAATAAAGTTGATATAACTGTAAATACTAATAGCACACAATATTACCGATTCCGAAAGGGAGCAAAGATCTGATAGCCAAAGGACACTAAGACTTGACGAGCTTAGATTAAGAAAACCAAGATTAGAGCAACCACCGATTTTGAGAACTGAGAGAGAACGCTTCTCTGAAACAAGTCGACTTAGCTCCTCTCTGTTAGAATAGACCAACTTAAGTTAATATAGGAGCTGAACACGGAGATTGTGTGAACCTTCTATCCATTTGCATGACATTGCTATTTCAAAATCAACGCATATTCAACACAACTTGCATGGCAAGAAAATGGAACATAGACTAGTTTCATGCAAGCATAACATAACATGGTGTGACAAATCAACCAACAAAAGATCAAAAATAATCAACCTGCAATTGCATTACATATGAAAAAAAAGTACAAATCCTCATTTACAAGGTAAAACTAAAATCACACCTTAACTGTATCTGACCTTGCAAGGTAGGCAACTATTAGTTGAGAAGAGAAGACACCTTTAAAACTAGTGATTCAAATTATAACAAAGCAAGTGTATTTGATATAAAATAGTGTAAACTAAATAACTAAATTTCAAAAAAGATGTATAGATGCCAACATTGCGTTTAGGATGTACGAGTAATGTTAGAGTTACAACATACCCAGTCATATTGTTGATTGCCTTGTCGGCCATGGTGATCTCCAGAGTTTCCAAACTTGAACAGGAAAATGCAAGACATGACAGCATGGTGGCATCAACAGCACTGAATCAAACATATACAAATAAGATACATGTCCCCAGTGAACACCTTTTATCGGCATAGGAAACAAACACGGGAGGACTGGAACTATATTAATTGTCGCTTTTGCTAGATCCAAAACAATGCATGGCTTTTACTAATCCACTCGCATCAACTTGGGTGCATACAGTAATTTCATTGTAGATAAGCATGACAGAGAAACATATACTGAAGCACCAAAGCTAGATTTTAACGATGTTGCTTTGACCATATTTGGAATATCACAAAGCATTTACTTCACTTTAGGTTCAACTTACGTGCATATGATTATTTCACCATACATAACCAACAGCTGGATGTGAAAAGCTTTAAGAGACACAGAAGACAAGCAGTCTTGTCTTGTCATTAACAAGGCCCTAACTGCACACAACAATTGCGCACACAGATTCTAAAACCAGAAGTGGCATGTATAATCTTATACCAGAATATTATGGATGATAATCGATGATCAACCTGGGATGATCTATTGATCATGTATATAGAATAATGGGTCTAGCAACTACAGCATGTCACTATGTCAGTATAAGCCAACTTGTCAAATATAAATTTGATCAGTCACAACAAAGAAGACCTGAAAAGGCTCCTTTTGTTTGCACTACAAATATATGGATATTCCTTCTATGCAGACAAATGCAACAAGAAACATTATCAAATAACTGATTGCACTAACCAGTTTCTAGTGCTTTAATTATTAGTTTATGGTTGTATCCTCACAGGCTCACAAGGGATAAGCAACAATAATTTTTATGTTCGGAAATAGCATACTGTTCTCGCAGTAATTGAGCATTTTGCATCACTGTAGACCAACTCCATTCATTATGCGCTTTCTACAATTCAACCAAGGCCTGGTAGAGGCTTTAAAACTAAAGTACGGGTAAAAAATCTGCAAATCAATCTTGCAGCACCAACAGAATATTGTCCAAAACACTGAAATCTCCAAACTCATTACCCTACATGAGTTTCAGCTGGCCACCAACTCATCCAAGAGCATGTCAAATTCAATATCCACAAAGACATGCGTGATCTTCCATAAGCGAAGTTAAAAAGGCACAGACTGTCAGCATTTTCCATGATACCCTCTACTTTGACAAGTTCCTGTGCACAAACATAAATATAACCTACCACTTAGCATAGCAATCCAGAAATAAACATTCTGGAGCGAGTATCAGATCCGACGTCCGTTCACCTTGGAAGTCGTTCAGAAATCCCAGGTTCTCGATATACTACTTGTTATTATTGAATTTGTTTATATTAAGATTTTATTAGGAACATATATACTACTACTCCAGTGGTCATCTGTGTCGTAGCCTTATTAGCCATAAAAAAAAGCTGTGCATAACAGCTCGTGTCCGGAGCAGGCGCCGATCGAAGATCCAGCATCGATCTGGCCAGATCGCGTCAAATTCGCATCGCATGGGACAATATTTGTTCAGATTCGTCCGGGTCCCCTCACCTTTCCATGTGGAGGACTAGGCGCGAGAGCGCGGCGCACCGGGGGAGCAGCGCGCCGAGGAGGCCGGCGGCGGCCGGGCGGAGGCGGAGCTCCTCGGCGACGCGCCAGACCCGGTCGGCGCAGTCGCGCCAGGCGCGGCTGACGGCGGCGGCGTCCAGTACCCCCCTGGGGCCGAGCCGGCGCAGGACCTCGACGACGAGGTCTACCGGCACGGCCCGGCCGCCCAGCTCCATGGTGCGGCCGGCAAAGTCATGGTCGGGCCTGGGCTTCTTCTCGGGGGAGGAGGGCGCGGGGGCGTCGTCGAAGGAGAGGGCGCGGCGGAGGCGGGTGTCCCCGGCGGAGGATGAGGGCGACGGGGAGGGGGGCGCGGCGCCGTCGGCGGCGGCCGGGGAGGGGAGGTTGCAGACGTGGCCCTTCTTGGGCTGGCCGCATCGGCCGCAGTTGTAGCTGCCCCGCGTCTTGGGGCGCGGCGGCGGGGGCGGCTTGGCGGGCAGCGAGGAGGAGGAGGACATGGGGTTAGGGTTTGCCCCGCCGCGGCTAGGGCTGGGGCGCGGAGGGGGAATAGCGGGGGAGGGGTGGGGCGGGAGATTGGGGAGGGATTGGCGCCATTTTTTGGGGCACCGCAGGAGGAGACCCGGATGGGAGGGTGTGGCGGAGATGAGCCCAGCCCCGCCGCGAGCGCCCGCCCACGTCGACGCGCGGTGCAACCCACGGCTGGCTGGCTCGCTCGAGATTGATTTTCTTTTTCTTTTGTTTTGTTTTGTTAGTTGAACGAACGACCGAGGATGATGCAAAAAACGGCACGTGCTTTCCGACGGGAACTGGTGCGGCTTTCCGGCTTGCGTTGCAGGCAGCTCCTGCCCTTTTTTCTTCCCTCTTTTGGTTTGGTTGAGAGACCCTACTTCCTCAAGCTAGCATCGGTTGACCGGGCAAAATCGGCGTTCGGGTTCGGTGCGGTTGCGCCTGTTTCGGCCCTACTTCCTTGAATCGGTTGACCGGGCAAAATCGGCGTTTTCGAAATTTGGAAATGTATTGCATGTAGCAACACTCGAGCTAGCAAGCAAAAGGAACATGCCTCGCGCATTTTCTCTCTTCATTTTCTCGTTGCGGCCTCTTTTTTCTTATATAATCTACTGTAGGTTGCACCTTTGTTGACCACCGCCTTTGTCTTCTTATCCTTCGCCTTTCCATATCGAGGATCAAGATTTTATTGGGAGGGGGAAGCATAATCTACCGTAAGCAATGGAACCAATCCGTTTTAAAATCTTACAGATGGTGTCAATTGGTGGTACAATAAACAAGTTGTTTGGTGTTTGTGCAGAGATAGGATCACGACAAGTATTTTTTGGTCCATCAAGCCATTTGGTCATGTGAAAGAAAAAATGTCTTGGAACCATGTTCGTTCATCATCGGTTGGTTTTAGAAAACAGGGAGCATATGCTTGGTATGACCATCCTCATCCAAAATTGAAAGGGTTTGCTTGGAAACTTGCTACTAGGAGTATGTCGATGTGGAAAAATAAATGCCAGGGAACTTCGAAAACTAACATTGAAATATCCAGAGTTGTATAGCATTTGTGTTTTGTAGCATTGGTGGTGAATGGCTTTGTGCCATGGTTCAATGCACGCAAGCTTTGGCTTTATGTGAATAAATGCACCGTGCTTGGATATTGCTGATGACATGGAGTTTTCATCTACTTGCTATTGGTGTTATGTGGGTTTGGCATCTTCTAAAAATGAAATTATTCAAAAAAATAAAATCATACATCCAAGTTGCAATGTCCTTTCAACCGTTTCAAAGGAAAACATTGATATCCACCAAGAGTCTAGATGAGAAGAGTATTTAACCAAAATCTATCACATTTCACGAAAAACGTGATAGAAAACTACCACTTTACGATTTTGTGCGGAAAACTACCACTTTTATCCTAATCAGTGGCAAAAAACTACCAAGTCTCGAAACTGGACGCTTCACCCGCGCTAAACACCAAACTAACCAGCCGGTCTTACGTTTCAGGCCACGGTGGCCAACCGATGCCCGCCGCACGTTAACGGCGCGTCCGCAGTCGGAAACGACGTCGTCAGAGGATCAACATCAAATGGCCGGTCCCACGTTTGGGTGCATTGAACGCAAACAGACAACCGCCGTTTCCGACCGCGGACGCGCCGTTAACACGCGGCGGGCGTCGGTTGGCCACCGTGGCACCTGAAACGTGGGACCGGTTGGTCAGTTTGGTGCTTAGCGCGGGCGAAGCGCCCGGTTTCGAGACTTGATAGTTTTTTGTCACGAATTAGGACAAAAGTGATAGTTTTCCGCACAAAATCATAAAAGTGGTAGTTTTTTGTCACGTTTCCGTGAAATGTGATAGTTTTTGGTTAAATACTCAGATGACAATGATAAAAAGGAAATTAGCTAAGTCTCAATCGACATAACTAAAAACATTATATACAGACTGATATGTATGTCTCGATGCAGTGTAGCCATTGTCAATGGTCCAAGTAAAAATGGGGGTGGGTACATGGTTGGCGCGAGCCACGGTGGTCATCGACACACCAATGTGATGGAGGAGACAAGGGAGATCGCACTAGAGTAGTCAGGGTCCCAAGACAGAACCACTACAAGCAGCAACGAAGGTAGAGCCCACTGAGGAGACCTCAGTTGGAATCGAGGGTTAACATCGAGGATGTTCACCGCGGTTTGAAAAAGGCACAAGTTGATCCTCGACTAGTGAATGTCAACAGGCCAGGGATTAGATCACACGGTTGCGACACTGTCATATTTTTTATAAAGGACACTGCCACAATTTTTATAAAGGACACTGTCATATTTTTTATAAAGGACACTGCCACAATTTTTTGGGTTGAGAGATAGCAAAGACATAAGTGGATGTGATCATGTTGCACACAGGGGCGCAACTTAACAAAAGGTGATAGTTCTCTTTTATGTTGGCAATGTCACCTTGGTGGAGATAGAATACTCAAATTGAAACTACTAGTAGAAAGGATTTTCAAAAGCAAAACTTGAGTTATGATTTTTTTCAAAAGCAAGACTTGAGCTTTTTTGGCACAAAATAGTTGTATCGTTAGGGCATCTCTAATGCGAACTCTCAAACAGCCCGCAGACGTCCATGGAATCATCCGACTGTCCGAAATCTCGCAAACCGGAAGCAAAGTTGTGGGAGCTTTGCGGGCATCCGACCCTCCCCCATGCAGGACTCTGACACCCACGGACCATCCAAAACCCCACCCAGAGCATGCGTCTTCGTCTCTTCCCTCACTTGCTATTTTTTTGAGTGTTGTGGACCTAAGAAAAAAACAATCAGAGGGCAGGGTTGGATGGCCGGCTTCCGTATTTGATTTCGTGGGCTGGTACGGACCAGTCTACAGTGTGACTGTTTTGAGAGCCGGCGTTAAAAACGCCCTTACAAGCGCGGGTGCTACACCAAGCAATGACACTATGTAAGTGAATCGTCATTGGTTAGTGGTGGAGATGCTAGGTATCATCTAGCATATTTAGACGGCATGAAGCCTTTGGCCTGAGTCGGGGATTCTCTTTGGCTGAGCTGCTGGTTGTTTGTGAATTTTCAATCTTTTGCTCAGTTCTCTTGTAATACTCTCATGTCGTTAAGAAAAGGGATTGTTTAGAGACCTTTAATCTTTGGTCATCGCGATTAATCTCGTTCAATTGTCACGCCTAATCTTAAGAAAAAGGGAAGAGAGCCAGCAGTTTCATCTGACTCAACATGTGAGTGGGATGGCATTCCAATAATTTCAGCATGTGAGTGGGACGGTATTTCAATAATTTTGTGATTGTAAGAGCATCTATAGCCGGGCGTCTCAAACCGGTCTCAAACACCCGGACGAGCGGACCGGTCACTGACGCGTCAAAAAAAAAGATCCGGCCTCAAAAGTCCGGGTTGTCCCCTTCATATCCAGCCCAAATGCAGGGCGGATACGGCGCGGCCGGACGCGCCCGCCACGTTAGCACAACCAACTGTCGACCAAAAAAAGTCCCCACCAAAAAACCCAATCCGGAAAACCTACACTCACTTCAGTCTGCTCCGCTCCGTCACGTCTTCTCCCCTTATCCGATTTGATCACCCAAGCCCATCTCCAGCAAGCCGGCGAACATGTTGAACCCTGGCAGCCACTCGGACGGCTCCGTCGATGACGCGGACGAGCTGGCCCTCTGCACTACCATGGAGCAGTCGCGAGTGCACACAGGGGGGCTGTTCCGGATCTGCTTCGTCACAGCTCGCCTGCCGGAGCTGGCCCATCCCGGGTCGCGCAACTCCGCGCCACCCCTCTATCGGCCCCACCCCCGCCAGTTGTTGCTCCGCAAGGGCAGCAGTGCGTTCTTGTGCCCGCTCCGCCGACGCCGCGAGCGTGCATGTTGGAATCGAAGGTGTGCGCCACCCGCCGCGAGAGGCAATGGGCAAGGGAGAGGGAGGCGGTCGAACAACCTATTCGCTGCCGCTGCGGGTTGCCGGCGGTGCCCGATAAGAAGAAGCGGCTTCTCGCGCGAGTCTACTGCCGGTCACTTACGACCGCGGAGACGGAACCTCGCCGGCTCCAAAGGAAGAACGCCAAGGCACCCCGGCTAGCCATTGAGCAGTCCGAGCGGGAGCGGCGGAGGCAGAGGTGGCGAGGATGGCCAAGCTCAAGCACAAGCAGGAGCAGGTTGTCCGACGTTTGAAGGGTTGCATCATCATCTCCTCTTCTTCCGACGACGACATCAACTCCGATAACCCGCCTCTTGTCGCGGACGCCTACAACAGCGACGGCGGCCGGAAGGGCAAAGGGCTGGTGAGGAAGTGGTGAAGCTCCTCACGTCTTCGTCTTTACTTTAAAATTTGTATTAATCTAGTTTATACTTGCCCGTCGTTTAAATGGATTGTGTGAACTTTGGCGATATTTTGGAGATCTTGGTGATCCTTTAGTGATCGAAATGTGCATTTCCATGTCCAATTTTATGTCCATTTGATGATCTACGTTGCATGATTTAGTATGGGTATAGGGTAACGAATATGAGATACACGAATGTGGACGACAAGATTTGAAGTGCCCGTGGACGCGCCCTCCTATGTCCGCGAGCGTTTGAGGGGCCGAATTTAGTGACCGCACTTGTAGATGCTCTAATGTCTTCTAGTTTTAATAAAGCTCCCCGAATTTCAATGAAAACAATGATGGAGTTATACAAAAGACCATAGATGCTCCATGGTTCGGGCTCCACAGGTGCTCCAGGTGCCGGATGTCCGGACCGAAGTCCAGATGCCCAGGCTAGATCCGAAAAAGCAGGTCTAGAAAGCTATGCAGGGAGCCCTTTTGTCAGGCCTTAGCCCGAATATCCGGATTTGGTCCAAATGCCCACCCTCGGTGAATGGACAACCTTATCTTCTTCACCTTTCTTTCGTTTCCGCTTCAACTTCCCTGGTGGGTTGTGTAGCCGTACTCTTGTGTTTGGACTCCTCCTTGACAAGTGTGAAACTTCATGACCGAGTTGCAGATGGCAT